TCTCTTTCTCTCTCTCTCTCCTCCCCTCTCTCTCCTCACTCTCCCCTCCCCCCTCTCTCTCTCTCTCTCTCTCTCTCTCTCTCTCTCTCTCTCTCTCTCTCAAGAAGAAAAGAAAGAGAATGGGTGATATTGCTGCTGCAGTTTGACGTTTGAGTTGATTTTTAAAAGTTACCCAGCGAAGCACATTTACACAATAACGACCATTTAGCGCAGTGGAAAGAGAGACAGAAATAACAGAGGGACGGAAAAGAAGTAGGACGTACTTGTGGCACGAGCCAACCCACTGAGGTTTGAGGTGAAGAGAAGAAAATCGATGCGGTGGCTGTTTTTAGTTTGTTTGTTTGCTTGTTGTTGTTGTTGTTGTTGTTGTTTTGTTTTGGTTTAGTTTTGTTGTTGTTGTTGTTATTGTTTTTGTTTTGATTTGGTTTGGTTTTTTGGTTGCTGGTTGTTTTTTTTGTGTTTTTTTTTTTTGGGGGGGGGTGGATGGAGCCATGAAAAGCAAGAAAACAATCACAGAGGGGAAGTCGGATGTCTAGCAGTTAGGCTCTCCGACTCTCAACCGTAAGGTGGTGGGTTCGAATCTCATCAGGGCCCCAACGTTGTGTTCTTGAGAAAGGTACTTTACACAATTTTTCTACACTTCACCCGGGTGAGAATGGGTACCTGGCTAAAGACCACGGAAGATCTTGCTTAAACTTGCTTCTCTGGAAGCCGCAAATGTTACTGGGTGTTCTAGAGTCTGCTGTGGTAATACTGGTTGTAGAGCGCACAGAGCACGCTGAAAAGCGTACACGTGAATGGAAGTACATGTAGTATTATTATCTATTATCTATTTGTGGTGGCCGAATTTTGCTATTCAAAAGTCTTTTTAATTGCTACATCGATCGACATGCAGTTTTCGCCAAAAGATTCTTTGTAATATTCTCCAGATCATGACGCCCTTTGTTTTTTCATTTTTGAGAGAGTTTTGCTGTAAAAAACTAAATTTGTTTATTTCATCGATCGCTTTTGTAGGCCGACGCTTCTGTCTCTGTAATTTTGGAAAATCCGCCAGGTTTGTTTATTTCATATTGTACTTCCGTTCGATACTATCGTGCATTGTCGCGCAATACTGAGCACTATGTTAAGTGTGCCACCCGTATAGATCTTGCCTCACGTTTTCTTTTTTTTACTCGAAGCTAAATTGACTGATCTTTTCGTTTGATGCCCATCATCGCTTTTTTATTGCTCCATTCGGGTAGAGTGTAAATTAATACTGTAGGCCAATGACTTTTAGTTGATGTTAATGCACCGATCATTCCTTTCATCGAAAGGGGGCCCAGCTAGTTATCATCTATAGGGGGACCTAAACGGGATACCTTTCCTTGTTCTATGCTGTGAGAGTTAGATACAAAATTAGAGTTAAGGATCTGTTCTCCCACTCTCGTGCAATTACACATTAATTCAACCATACGAGCAGAAACACACAAAAACATGCAAGCATACACACAGACACACATACACACACACACACACACACACACACACACACACACACACACAT